CGCCGCCGCTCGCCATGGTGGTCGTCTGCCAGCTGTGCACCAACGGTGTCACCAAGACCCAAGGGGTCATCAAGTGCATGGCCGAACCGTGCAAGAACGTTTGTCATGCCCGCTGTGCGCCGCTCGGCACAGGCGTAACCTGGACCTGCCCGACGTGCCTCAAAGCGCAGGGCGCCGCCGCCGACCCGCCCCCCAAAGAAGACTCGCCCGAGCCTACTCTGCGCGACGTCATGTCCATGCTCGCGCAGCTGCAGGCGCAGGGCCAGGCACAGAAGGTCCTGCTCGAGTCCGTGGAAAACAGCCTTGCGCTCTCCATCGAGTCGTGCAACAACAAGATAGACGAGGTGACGACCAAGGTGAGCGCGCTTGAGACCAACGTGGACCAACTCGACGAAGGTGTCGCACTCAACAGCAACAAGGTGCGTGACCTCGAGGAGAGGCTGCTGGCGGCCGAACAGTACAGCCGCGTCAACGACGCGGACGTAAACGGCATCCCCTACAAGAAGGGCGAAAACCTCAACGACATCCTCGCCAGTCTGGGGCGGGCGCTGTCCTTCCCACTCGGCCCGGATAAAATCGAGGTAGCTCACCGCGTGGGCCCCGAGTCTGCGACCAACAGAGGCATATACGTCCGCTTCTTGAGGAAAACGGACAAAGAGGACTTTGTGAAAGCGAGGAAAGTGAAGAGGGACCTAGCACTCAAACATCTCGGCCTTTCCGGTGAGCAGTATACTTCGGGTGACGATTCAATTTTCATAAATGACAGCCTGTGCCCTGCTCTCCGCAAACTTGTGAATGAGGCTCGACGTCTCAAACGTGAAAAAAGTACTTTTGCTCATGTCTGGGTCAGTGGGGGTAAACTCTATGTCAAGAAAGAAGAAGCTAGCCCCAGAGTGCAGATTACTAGAATGCAGCAACTTTCTGACTTGGCAAAATGAACAGCTATATTAATGCAATTATGTTATATATATTGTTTTTTCTTTTGTTCTCTCGTGTTTCCCCCCCTTGTTCAGCCTGCAGTGTATTGTTGTCTATACTTATTATTACAATTGTTTTTTCTTCTTGCTATTTGTTGTTGATGATGCATTGTCTTGCCTCTCTATTCTATATTACTAAACCTGCCAATGGATAGCGCATTAACCAGACAATCTTTAAGTGAGTTCAGTGATTCATCACCTAACAGTCTAAAAGTAGTGCATATTAACGCCCAGTCACTCACCTATAAATGTCATGCAGACGAATTCCAGTTTTTATTTGATAATTCTGGTCATGATATCATTTCTGTGAGCGAAACATTCTATAAAACAGCAGAAGATGTCGTACATTTACCTGGTTTTCACGCCTTTACGGCAAACCGTACGTCGCACGATGGTGGCGGTGTCGCTGTTTATGTGAGGGATACTCTCTCTTGTAAAGTCTTGGTACAGTCAGTGTCCCCCCTCCAGCGTGAACAGAGACCTGACTACATCATCCTTGAAATCTGTCTCCACAATGCTACCATACTATTTGCAACAGTGTATCGCCCACCTAAAGCTGGCCATTTATCTGAATTCCAAGATCATCTATTTTCTTACTGTATTGAATACGAGTCTGTGATAGTCACGGGAGATGTAAATGCTCATTTTGATAGTACTAAACGTTGTGATATCGCTGATGGGAAAGGTGTAGCTCAGCTGCTAGAGGTCTGTAACTTGTCAAGAGTGCCCTTTGGCAAAACCTTCCACACTAAGTCGTGCGACTCAGCACTGGATATGATTGCCACCTCATGCCCTAACAAAATCAACAAATATATGCAAATTCCTGTGTGTGGTCTCTCAGCTCACGATCTCCTGTATGCAACATTTGCGTTCGACGTGCCAAAATCTCAACCTGTCAGTTTTTCACGGAGGGACTTCTCCAAGTTTGATTGTGATTTGTTTGCCAGCGAAGTTCTGTCAGCACCCTGGGAGGATATGTTAAACTATACTGATGTAAACGATAAACTTTCTGTTTTTAATGATATCCTTATCAGACTGTATGACAAGCACGCACCAGTGAAATCTCACCATGTTAAACAACAACCGAGGCCCTGGTTCACTCCAGAGGTAATCTTAGCTATGAACCAGCGTGATGTAGCATATAGGCGCAGCCGCCGTACTAAAAACTCCTGTGATATAAACAATTATAAAATGCTTAGAAACAAGGCTAACAGAATCAAGAGAGACGCAAAAATCAGCCATGCATATACTGTATTTTCTAATGCAACATCATCGAAAGAGATGTGGCAGGCACTTAAAAAGTTCAATGTTATAAATAATAAATCGACTGACTGTAAATATCCACCAGCTAATGAACTAAATGAGCACTACTCCTCTGTCTCTTGCATTGACACCAAAGCAGTGGAGAACACAATTGTTCAATATGAGGCAATACCACAACTTGTTGAGGACCAGTTTTATTTTCATGATATAACGTTTCCAGACCTACTACGAGCAGTAAACTCTGTAAAATCTAATGCAACAGGAGTCGATGGAATATCACTAAAAATGCTAAAAACCTGCCTTGTTGAGCTAGCACCTGCCATCTTGCACATTTTTAATGTATCGTTACAGACTGGTCAGTTTCCCAATCAATGGAAGATAGCAGATATTAAGCCTATACCAAAGAAAGCAAACGCCACCACTGCCAAAGACTTTAGACCTATAAGCATTCTCTGTATATTAGGTAAGATCCTTGAAAAAATTGTACATGTACAAATAACATCATTTATGTCTAAAAATCACCTCTTCCATCCTCTGCAGTCTGGCTTCAAGCCAGGCCATAGTACTACTACTGCACTGCTTAAGGTTGTAGGAGATATTCGGGAAGCAATGCACGATCGGCTTCTCTCGCTACTTGTTCTGTATGACTTCAGTAACGCATTTCCATCTGTACACCATGATCTCTTGTTCACCAAGCTTCGCCATCTAGGCTTATCTAAACCAGCTGTGGATTGGTTCCGGTCCTACTTATCAGACAGGAAACAGCAGGTATCTACTGGTACTGAAGTGTCATCCCTTCTCCACATTTTCTTTGGTGTACCTCAAGGTTCGGTCCTTGGCCCGTTGCTGTACTCTCTGTATGTAAACGATATAAGTGATGTATTTAAAAATTCCTCATTCCATTTGTACGCCGATGACCTGCAAAATTATGTTACATTCTCACCCTCCAAATTGCACAATGCTGTTGAAATCATTAATAAGGAGGCAAAGAAGCTTGCTGCTTATGCAAAGGGCCACAACCTGGCAATTAACGGTCTTAAAACCCAAGTCATTATAATTGGTAACCCCAAACTAATCAAGAAACTTCCTGCCGATAAGCCTCATGTCATTGTAGAAAATATGCCTCTGCCTTATCTTGATGTTGTAAAAAACCTGGGTATATTAATTGACAGCAATTTAACATGGGAAAAATTCGCTACAGCAACCTGTCACAAATGTATTGCTGCTCTCCATGGTATTAGGAAGCATAAAGACCTCTTGCCTATGCCGGTCAGGAAAAGACTTGTTGAAAGTTTAATTTTTCCTATCATCGATTATGGTATAACCGTGTCTGTCGGCATGCTGTTTAAGTCAAAAGAGCGCCTCCAGCGCATACAAAATGCCTGTCTACGCTTTGTGTTAAATTTACCACGCCACGAGCACATAAGTCAGTACTACCAACAAGTTAAATGGCTCCGCTATCAGCAGAGACAAAACTTTTATTTGTTATGTCTCCTCAAGAAAACTATTGTTGACAGGTCACCGACTTATCTTTTTTCTAAGCTTGTATTTGTAAATGCTCTGCATAATCGTGCTCTCAGAAATGTTAAACCGCTCCTGCAAGTACCACAGAAATTTACAAACAAAATCAGAGGTGCCTTTTGGATCAGTGCGGTCCTTCTATGGAACGACCTCCCAATAGAGATTACGACCAGCAAGTCACTATCTAGCTTTAAGTCAAAACTCACTCCTTATCTTTTGTTATAAGATCAAAAAATCTACTCGATACTAATGTGATTATCCCGGCAACCAACACTTCCACTATATGTTACCTTTCTGAACTGTAATCTAACGATGTGTCATGATGTACTACTATAAGACTCTCTAGTCTTTTGTACTTAAAACAATAAATATCAATATCAATATCAATATCTCTCTCTCTCTCTCTCTCACACACACACACACACACTCTCACATTCTGACACATACGACGGTTACAATTTGGGCGGAAAATGCATCAGGAGGTCGCCCACCGCGTCGCCGTTTGTTATTGTCGTCGTCGCAGACAGTATACACTGTCAGAAATGAGACAGCGATGTATAAATCTTTTCCGGCAGGTCGTCTGCTGCGCCGAAGGATTTATGCGGAATGGCACTTTGATTGCGGCCGCGCCGGCGTCGCCACGCGGAACAAACGAGACTGTCAGCCTGGCGCCATTTTCTTCAAAATCTAGATTGCACTTTAATTGATGACGGCGCTGCCGACGTCCAAAGAAAACACCGCTCCGCAGGGGTGGGGAAAGGAAGGAATTTGTCTTTGGCTGCAGCCGCGTCCCTGCACTCTAAATGTCAAAGGAGGACAATTTTTGTCCATTTTCAAGATGCATCAGGCCCATGAAGGAGGACTCATGGAGAACTTTACCCCTAACTGGAATAGCAGGAATAGCGAGCCGTGCACGAGCAAAACAGCATTTACTTTCGACTCGCCGTCTCTGCTCTTGACGAAACAGCTCAGAAAGCCTGCCGTTTTGTTCAAACTAAACCAACATGCACTATGTTGTTGTGCATAAATGATTTGATTTAATCCGTATTACGAATGCTGTGTGAAATGTATTACGCTTTCATTAAATTCTCCGTAAGCGAGTCCGTAAGGAAATGAGTGTCCGGTCTGTTGTTGACATTGCCCACACTGAATCTCCTATAGACTCGTAGAAAACAACAGTAGGCCAGTTAAATGTCCTGCAAAGAATTTGACCAGCCTTTTCTTACTGTCTTGTCTCAGGTACATCAAGATGTCATCGCCACACCTCAACAACCTCATCATCGTGGGCTGCCTCCTAACGTACTCGTCCGTCATCTTCCTGGGACTCGACTCGCAACTCACGAGCATCGAGACGTTCCCCTACATCTGCACGGCACGCGCCTGGCTGCTCATGGCTGGCTTCTCACTCGCTTTCGGCGCCATGTTCTCCAAGACGTGGCGGGTGCACTCCATCTTCACGGACGTCAAGCTCAATAAGAAGGTGGGTGAATAAATTGCACAGCCGCACTGAGCAGCGTTCACCATCAGCCATGGGACTCGCTCGATCTCAATGTTTCAAATATCTGTCGGTTTTTTTTTTTTCGTTTATAGCCCGCAACTCAGCCTTAATTTTGCTATTGCACTGGTGCTAGCTGCAGCGTTCGTTTTTAATCAGTTCTACCAGTAGCAGTTGAGTTCGAGACTTTATTTTAGAGTATCTTATTAGGGTGGCCAGTCTACCAGGAACAGCAAGGGTTGGGGTTCACGCCCATTAGATGCCCCATTGCCCGACTTTTTACACTCGATCTTGAATGACAATTCACTAGTACTTTAACAACGGGACGCAAGGCCGAGGCCGAAAAACAAAACAAAAAACAGGTCGATCGTTTGTTGATCTAGTTTTATAATTTATTATTTTTGCGCTGGAATACCTTTTAAAAATGCATTTTTTTGGACTTTCGTAATTTTGTCAAAGTACCACTGAATTTATAAGGCATGGGGCTTGCAACATTCCGGACCGCCGCTTGCCCTTTTTTTTGTTATTATTGCTTCTTTGCTGTTATTATTTGGAAAACGGAATGTTTCCGGCACGAGCAGGTACGCAGCCGCCCGCCCAGCGCCGCTCAGCGCGCCAGACCATTACTTTCAACAAGCAGCACACGGCGGCCGTTCCCGCCGCCGCGCCAGCATTTCATAATCATCGTAATAATAATAAAAATGAAAAAGAGTAGTGGCGGAGATAATAGCCCGCGCTGGTCTTTATACGCGGCGGTGGCGCCGCGCTGCGCCTGTGCGTGGACGTGTGCTGTAAGCTCCATTTTAAAAACAATCACCGGGGCGTGGTAGGGGAGGGGGAAGGGGGCTCGTGTGGACTGGACAGCCGACAGCGTGGCACGTTTAGCTTTGCGGACCTGACCAGCAGCCCCGCCCCGCCGCGCTGTCTGGACTGCTGCCAGGCGTGGCTCACGGCGAGCTGTAGCAGCCAGTATATTTCAACATAACAGTAACTGGCTCGGTAGATTTGGGAAGGAGAGAAAGAGGTAGGGGAGAGGGAGAGGTGCATGGGGGGGGGGGGGGGGCAGTTGCCGTGTGGCGTGGTCTCTGCTTCTCTGCTGCAGATTTACTAAATCTCCGACCTCTGTTCAGCAGGAGCTTGGCCTGCTGGCAGTGTTGCACGTGTCACACCCAGAAGACGGTTTAGTCCAGAGAACCGAATTCAAAACCGACGAAATTTTAGCTCTGGAGACCAAAATTTATCTGTGGCGATGAAATAATTTAGTCCAGCTGCTTTAAATTGATTGAAGCGACCATATTTAGTTAAAAATGGGGTTACTAAATTTTAGTCGGTTGTAGGAACTAAATTTTGTTTCTTACAACCCTGATTCATTTGTATCAACTAAATGGTTCTCTGGGTGCACTATACTATGCTTCAAATGTGTAAACGGTTTGATGAAATGAAGCACGTTTTAGTAACGATGCGCCACCTAGTTTAAATCTTGGCAACCACACTTTCAGTCGTATACTGATTTTGTCCAGTTGAAACGTCCAGTTTTGTCCAGTTGATTCTCTGCTGAAGGAGCGATTGATAAATTTGTGAATTATTTCGTATGGCTGGTTTCACAGCACTGAAAATACCCTCGTAAACTAACAATTTTTTTTTGTAATTTTCATTTAAATCACTAAAATTTACTTTGAAACATAGAAAAATCATCAAAATAAGGTCGAAATAAACGGTTGTTTTTTTTTTTCATCTAGAAACCATCCATAAATAGACGAAATAGAAATCATTAAGAATCAAGCATCCGTGGATTCTTATGTCTACACTTTGAAAGGAAGTGAAGTGACTCGCCACACAAGTTTTGATCGGACACCATTCGGCGCCATTTGGAGACAGAAACACGAAAATAGAGAGAAACCTTAACAGAATTAACAATATTCAGCATCAGTGGTAGGCCAAATAGTGTGTCCCTGCCACCAGGAGAGTTACAGGGTGGGGGT